ATTATTTCGTTGTTCAAAACAATCCCAGAACTTTTCTTTAAGATTATAGTTTACTCCAGTAAGATCAAATAAAATAGAATATTTCCCATTTATTTCTTTTATAATTAACTGTGCAATATCCCCCCATTTATTAGCAAAATAACGATTAATTGTATCGTCTTTTTCTAATATTTGAAATAATGAATTAACAATAATATAAATCACTTGTGTTCCATCTTCTGCTCGTTCAATATAAACAGCTTTTCCTAACTTAAGATATTCAACTATTTTTTCACACATCCCTCCTAATTCATCTTCACTCACATCAACATTTAATCTATTCCCTAATTTCTTTTCAACAATAAGAGGAGACGGACCAAGTAAATCTGCGAATTCATTTAATAACCAAAATAATTCTAATGGTGTTAATTTCTTTCGTTCTTCTTTTTCTTTTGGTTTTATTTTATTGTCTAATGCATTCATTCTTGGTGAAATTGTTCTTTTTGATGCACTTGTTCGTGTCCATATTTTATTTGGTGTTGGTGATTGTTTTATTGGACTAGTTGTTGACGGATTATTAGGAGAAGCAGATAAACTAATTGGTAAAACTACATCAGGTGAACTTGACTGTAATGACCCACTGGATTTATTTCGTTCTGGAATACAACCAAAGTTACATGCCACTGGTGACTCACTTTGACTCTGCCCATTTTCTTTAATATTACTTGATCTTGAAATAACATCTTCGCTTGAGTCATAGTAATGACAATCAATAGGAATTACAGGTAAAATAGTATTTTGTGGAGAACTAGAAGATGATGATTTTCTTCCATTTAAACGAGGAGATGATGGTGTTTGGAATTCTTCATGACGAGGTGAAGCAGAAAACCATCCACCACTTCTTTTACTTTGATTACTTTCTCTTGGAGATGCGACTTGTGGAGATGTAGTTTGTGGTTCTTCAACAGGTTTTTTATCAAATGAAACAAAAGTAGCACGAGCCCTTCCTTTAACAATAGCATTTTTAGGTATTGCTGGCATTGTTTTACTAATTTCTTTTCTTTCTATAGTTGGTTCTTTCTGAAGTTCTTTAGCTTTTAATAACAGTGAATGTAATTCAAATAAGTTATTCATATCTGTATCTTCAAAAGATTTAAATGTATGTGGTGCAGATGAATTAGAAGAGGTTTTAGTGCATAATATTTCAATATCATTATTTAATTTTGCAGACATCTCAATAGTGAATGGAATAGTTTGTTGGAAATATGGTTCTTTTGTTGAGGTCACATTATTAGCAATATTTTGAATTATTTTTGTTATTAATATCAAATTTCTTCTACAATTTGGTTGAATTGGATGTGTCATTTCAATACCTGAAGCTTCTGGAGCAGCTAACGAAGGACAAATAATACGAAGAAACAAAAATCCACCTACCATTGTAAATGGAAGTAATTTACTTTGTGGATATTTATTTTGAGATTGTTTATATAATTGTTTGCAAATTTCTATTATTTGTACTGGTAAGTTATGAAGATTTGATTCAATTGAACGAATAAATTTAGTAGTATATGCTTGTAAAAGTTCTGTATTTTTTGAAATAAGTTGAGGTGTTAGTGATGGATCTTTTTGTTTATCAACTTCAAGTAAATGAGGACATACATTAATTTCATTAATTACATTTTTTAAAGTTGTACGAAGGAAAGTTCTACAACTACTTTTAGCAAAGTATGTCATCATTCTACTACAAAGATTGTTTGACCTAAACAACGTTCCTTCTGAATTTGATTTGTCGAATTCTTCCTTTTTATGTTAATGAGTATTATAATAAATTAAATTTTAACAAACTTTTATCATTACTTCTATACATGGAATAATACGTTCATGAAGAGTAAGTAAATCTACAATAATTTTGGTAAAACCATCTTGTAACTCTGGTGGTAAAGTAGTCCCAATATAAATAGTAAATTCAAGGTCATTCATTAACCGATAAACTAAGGAAGCGTAGTGATCATAAATATCTTTGAAGTGATTATTTTCAAACGTAATTGTTAAGTCTTGCGACATCGATTTGGTATTGAATTACTATTTAATAGATAAGAAAAAACTATTTTCATTTAACTTTATGTGTTTTTTTTTCTTTTTTTACTCAAAAAAAAAACTATTTAACGATTTAATAATTTCTACTTTTTTTTTTCCGTATAGCTTCACCCTTTTTTATTCATGGAAAGAGTTTTAGTATTATGAAAAATAAGGACATCACGTTCCTTTAAT